AGGGTTTTTAGGATTCAGTGGATAATTTGCCTAAAAATTAATCTGCCAACTCCCAGTACATTTCAAAGCCTGGCCTTGCCACTTCTGAGAGTTTGCTAGAATCTGTTGCTGCACAGCACGGTTGTTGTTCTTTAGTTGCTAAGCTGTGTCCGACTTTGCGACCCCATGGACTGTAGCCCAGCGGGGTCCTCTGTCCATGGGATTTCCCAGGCAAGAATACTGAAGTGGGTTGCCATTTCCTTCTCCAGGGGATCTTCTTGATCCAGGGATCGAACCCCTGTCTCCTGCATTGGCAGGCACCTTCTTTCCCACTGAGCCACCGGGGAAGCCCACACAGCAGGGTATAGGAGGATAAATGTGCTAAAGGCGATATTCAACCAGCTTCCTTCACCAGTGGCTATATGTTTAGGTTTACTGGAGAATGGAGAATAGAGTTTACATTTTGGTAATAAGACCTCTGTGAGTTTTAAAAATGTAATTACCAGCTGCTTTTAAATATGCCCTAACAGACATTTATTAAAGGGGCTCTAAGATACAGACCAAGGCTTCTTTCATTGATAATGGTATGTTTTCTGGAAATGAAAGCAAAAAATACATTCAAGTGTATAACATCCCCCAAAAGCATTATTGGAAAAATACAAGTGTTCTTACACTAACTTTCCCTGCCAAGACAAAGCAAGATTGCTAAACAAAATCCTGTCTTGCCTAAAGTTGGGGTTTTCTCTGTGTCAGCCCCTGCCACAGTAAATACTTTTTAACTATTGTTATGAAGAATTTTAGGAACACTGAGGGTTGGAAGCACTTTTTGTTAATTGGAGTATAATTGCTTTACAATATTGTGTTAGTTTCTGCTGCACAGCAGTGTGAATCAGCTGTAAGTATACATGTGCCCCCTCCCTCCTGGGCCTCCCTCCCATCTCACTCCAGGTCTTCCCAGAGCGCCGTGCTGAGCTTCCTGGCATATGTCCTATGACACCTTCAGAGCCTTAGAAAATCTTTCTCTGTGCGTGAGCATTTAAGTTTATTTGGCCCAAACTGTGGTAGAAGTGAAGACAAAGCCAGGGCATAAGAGATACTGAGAGTACCAAATCCATCCTTCGAAGAGCTTGTTGATAATTGAAAGTCACTCTCATTCATTAGCAGCCTGTATTTGCTTTTGCTGCTGTTGTTGTTTGGGTGTTTTGGAGCTCTGGATGGCTTGCGGGGATCTTCCCTGACCAGAGATTGAACCCAGGCCAGCAGCGAAAGCCCTGAATCCTAACCACCCACTCGGGCCTCCAGGGGATTCCCAACAGCCTGCATCCTGAGGGATTAAAAAAAACGCCCTGGCAGTGCTAAGTTAGTCATGCTTTTTCTCACAAACTTGGATAATTGAGACTCCCAGCCCTGTGATACCGACAGCATACTGATGAGATCCAGCCTCTCCGTTGCTTCTCTTCAAATCAGAGAAGAATAATTGGGTAAGAAAACAAAACTGTCAGGTCACTGGCTTTGAAGCCTTCTTCCAAACTTAAGAGTTTATTTTCTGCATTAGGCAGTTCTCCTTAATCACTTTTTAAAATCTCCAATACCTGTCTTATGTATCTGTTCTTTTCCTCTACAATTCGATTATAAGTTCCTTGAGAGCTGGGCATAGAATTTATATTTGTCTCTTCTTTAAATAGATTTAAGAGATATAAGCCCCATACTATACAGTCCACCCATTTAAAGTGGACAGTTAGGTGACTGGGTGTATCCAGAGTAGGAAAGCCATCACCACAGTCAATTCTAGAATGTTTTCATCACCCCAGGAAGAAACCTCATACCCATTAGCAGCCACCCCCCGCTTCCCATCAGCTCTCTTCGTTCCTAGTAACCACTCATTATACTCTTATCTCTATGGATTTGTCTCCTGGATATTTCATATGAATGGACTCATAGCCTGGGTGGTTCTGTGTGACTGGCTTCTTTAACTTCACATGTTTACATAGCTTGACCAAATTGTATCATATATCAGGACTTTGTACATTTTATTGCTGAATACTGTTCCATTATATATTTGGAAGCACTTTTTGTTAATTGGAGTATAATTGCTTTACAATATTGTGTTAGTTTCTGCTGCACAGCAGTGTGAATCAGCTGTAAGTATACATGTGCCCCCTCCCTCCTGGGCCTCCCTCCTGTCTCACTCCAGGTCTTCCCTGAGCTTCCTGGCATATGTCCTATGACACCTTCAGAGCCTTAGAAAATCTTTCTCTGTGCGTGAGCATTTAAGTTTATTTGGCCCAAACTGTGGTAGAAGTGAAGACAAAGCCAGGGCATAAGAGATACTGAGAGTACCAAATCCATCCTTCGAAGAGCTTGTTGATAATTGAAAGTCACTCTCATTCATTAGCAGCCTGTATTTGCTTTTGCTGCTGTTGTTGTTTGGGTGTTTTGGAGCTCTGGATGGCTTGCGGGGATCTTCCCTGACCAGAGATTGAACCCAGGCCAGCAGCGAAAGCCCTGAATCCTAACCACCCACTCGGGCCTCCAGGGGATTCCCAACAGCCTGCATCCTGAGGGATTAAAAAAAACGCCCTGGCAGTGCTAAGTTAGTCATGCTTTTTCTCACAAACTTGGATAATTGAGACTCCCAGCCCTGTGATACCGACAGCATACTGATGAGATCCAGCCTCTCCGTTGCTTCTCTTCAAATCAGAGAAGAATAATTGGGTAAGAAAACAAAACTGTCAGGTCACTGGCTTTGAAGCCTTCTTCCAAACTTAAGAGTTTATTTTCTGCATTAGGCAGTTCTCCTTAATCACTTTTTAAAATCTCCAATACCTGTCTTATGTATCTGTTCTTTTCCTCTACAATTCGATTATAAGTTCCTTGAGAGCTGGGCATAGAATTTATATTTGTCTCTTCTTTAAATAGATTTAAGAGATATAAGCCCCATACTATACAGTCCACCCATTTAAAGTGGACAGTTAGGTGACTGGGTGTATCCAGAGTAGGAAAGCCATCACCACAGTCAATTCTAGAATGTTTTCATCACCCCAGGAAGAAACCTCATACCCATTAGCAGCCACCCCCCGCTTCCCATCAGCTCTCTTCGTTCCTAGTAACCACTCATTATACTCTTATCTCTATGGATTTGTCTCCTGGATATTTCATATGAATGGACTCATAGCCTGGGTGGTTCTGTGTGACTGGCTTCTTTAACTTCACATGTTTACATAGCTTGACCAAATTGTATCATATATCAGGACTTTGTACATTTTATTGCTGAATACTGTTCCATTATATACATACACTGCATTTTATTTGTCCCCTCCTCAGTTCATAGACATTTGGGATGTTTCTACTTTATATATATTTTTGCTCCTGATAGCAGTGGTTCTTAAAATGTGCTGTGTATTAGAGTTGCCACCCATATTTAAAATACTGATGCCCAGGCCTTATGTCTCATTAAATTAAAATGTCTGCAGGTGGGGCATCAGTATCTTTTTCAAACCTCTGAAGGAATTCCATCATGCAAGTAGATTGAGAACCAGTGTTCTGGAGGAGTTGGCATGGTGCTTGGTACCTGTGGCAGGTGTGTCTATAGGGATTTAGAAGATCTGGTTAGGATGTTGCTTCATTCATGAAAGGAAGTGTTTTTATGTTTGATCCCCGACCTTCACAGCCTTAAGATTAATAACCTACATCTGAGAACTGTGTTTAAGGCACCTGGTGAATGTTTGAAATTCAGTAAGTATAAATTGAGCTCTGTAATCCCTCATGGAGATTTGGGTGATAATTTTAGTAGAATTCCTCTGTTTGGTCAGGAGTGTGGTGACTGATAACCTGCAGTAGATTATTTGGGAATCATGTAGAGAAGACAGTGAGGACCAGTGCGAGGCACTGGCGAGGATCGAGAGCCTGGAAGCTGGGGTGCAGTACTGCCTCCCCCCACACGAAGCTCCGAGCTCTGCATTCCTGGGCCTCCTTATCTTCCTCCAGTAAAAAACAAAAGCTTCAATCTAGGACTCCCCTGGCAGTCCAGAGGCAAAGGCTTCAAGCTCCCAGTGCAGGGGGCCTGGGGTCAGTCCTTGGTCAGGGAGCTAGATCTCACCTGCCGCAGTGAAGAATCTGCACGCTGCAGCTAAAAGATTTCTCTGTGCCAGGACTAAGACCCAGTGTGGCCAAATAAATAAATATTTAAAAACAAAAATTTCAATCTACAAGGCCACTTTTAGCAACTCAGCTTTTTGATTCTCTGTATATGCTTTGTAAAGTCAACTTTATATTCTGACCACAGTGGCTGCCATTTGTACTCAGCTAGATGGTTTCTGGTTTACACATTTGGAAACTAGGGCTCACTTCTGAATTGCTTGCGAGTTTGTGTGTGTGTGTGTGTACATGTGTGTGTTGTGCATCACACTCGAGGGTATGGTTCAGGGCCTTCTGACACTGTCTCAGCCCTGCCTTGGGACAGCGTGGGAACAGGCCCAGCAGGGAGCTCCAAGCCAGCACCCATTTCTTTCAGTCTTTAGGCCCCTCTTTTGTGCGGCCCAGATCCAGTCTCCCAGGCCATCACCCAGTGGGGGGTACATTTAGTCTTCCTTTGAAAGCTATCTGCTTTTCTAACTCTAGTCATCAGTGGTTTGAAATTCTTTTAATATGTCCCTCCTATTATTGCTTTAAGATTGAAAAAGCAGTACTGTTCTTTCACTTATTTTGTGCTGAATGATATACATATGTGTTTAAAGTATTGATACCTTAAAACGGAAGAGTTTTGGTGTTAACACTTAGGCTATCTGCAGTGCATACTTGTATTTCAGTGAGTGATCCTTCCTATTAAATGCCATTTCCCTCCTTTGCAGGATGGAGCCAATGGTCAGGGTGGGTAATACCACTCCACCCCGCGTGTTTGTGTGGGGGGCACAGACACTGTTAACTATGGAGGTGGCCTGCTGATAAACAGTATAGAAACTTGCTTTACTTCAGATTTGACAGCCTTTTGTCTGCTTTCAATCTACAAGGCCACTTTTAGCAACTCAGCTTTTTGATTCTCTGTATATGCTTTGTAAAGTCAACTTTATATTCTGACCACAGTGGCTGCCATTTGTACTCAGCTAGATGGTTTCTGGTTTACACATTTGGAAACTAGGGCTCACTTCTGAATTGCTTGCGAGTTTGTGTGTGTGTGTGTGTACATGTGTGTGTTGTGCATCACACTCGAGGGTATGGTTCAGGGCCTTCTGACACTGTCTCAGCCCTGCCTTGGGACAGCGTGGGAACAGGCCCAGCAGGGAGCTCCAAGCCAGCACCCATTTCTTTCAGTCTTTAGGCCCCTCTTTTGTGCGGCCCAGATCCAGTCTCCCAGGCCATCACCCAGTGGGGGGTACATTTAGTCTTCCTTTGAAAGCTATCTGCTTTTCTAACTCTAGTCATCAGTGGTTTGAAATTCTTTTAATATGTCCCTCCTATTATTGCTTTAAGATTGAAAAAGCAGTACTGTTCTTCCACTTATTTTGTGCTGAATGATATACATATGTGTTTAAAGTATTGATACCTTAAAATGGAAAAGTTTTGGTGTTAACACTTAGGCTATCTGCAGTGCATACTTGTATTTCAGTGAGTGATCCTTCCTATTAAATGCCATTTCCCTCCTTTGCAGGATGGAGCCAATGGTCAGGGTGGGTAATACCACTCCACCCCGCGTGTTTGTGTGGGGGGCACAGACACTGTTAACTATGGAGGTGGCCTGCTGATAAACAGTATAGAAACTTGCTTTACTTCAGATTTGACAGCCTTTTGTCTGCTCTGCTTCAGCACAGAATTGTAGTATCACCCGTGGAGGCAGAGCCCAGCCTGTCCACAGGGAATTCTGAGGGATTAGACTGCAGGGAGCAAGGACTGATCCGGTTCTGTGGCCTTCTGTGAACAGCTTAGGAACAAGAGGTGTGACCCTGGTGGACTGACTGTGCTTGTCCCAGGGTCAGCTTAAGAACATGTGCGTTTTGCTGCTTGCTTTTACAGTCCTAGAGCAAGAAAGTCTTGCTACTATGGCTAGAGAGTATTGAAGAACCCTGAATTTCTTTGACCTAGCCAAAAAAAGAAATTTTTTAATCATTACAATCCTGGTATATGAAAACCACCAAAAATCAAAACTGTCATTTTTTTTTCTTGCACTAGGAAAAATTGTCAGTTTTGGAAGACGTCATTTTGTTCTTGGGGCTTCTCAATGAGACATGTTAAAATGGACATTGAGAAAGCAACTCCAGAGGACAAGAACCAGCCAGGGCAGTGAGTTTAGTGCTGGCCTGCCTGCTCTCCTACCCCCAGCTCCTGTGTTCTTCCTCCTCTGGTTCCCGAGCTGAGACCAGGCGGAGATTAAGAACCAAACTGGGGGTTCAGGTTCTTTCTTTCCCTGCAGAGACAAAGGTTCACCATGTGCTAGAAACTTCTTTACTAAGCTGCATGTTTGGGAGAATCCTTGGGGCATTGGAGATCCCAGGTTACCTTTCAGTTGGAAAAAAGGTTCTGGAAGTAAAGGGGGAGAGGTGGGGAGGAAAACTAGTTTAAAAGATTCCTCGTAGTGAACCCAGGAGGGATGCGGCTTCTTGGTCTCTTCTGTAACTCTGATTTGCTCCTCAGTGCCCATCTTGTGCCTGGGTCCTTCACGTGAGAAAAGGGAAAAGCATTGGGGACATTGACTTCTGCTGTGTTTACATTCATTATCTTTAGTTCTTGAAACCACCCTGTTAAGGTAGGTTTGTCGCTACTGAGAAAATTCTTTGGAGCGGCTAAGAAGCAGAGCTTGGCTTAAGAACTATACAGCACAAATACTTCAAGCAGAAGGATTTTATATAAGAAATCAATTATATAGGTGAGCCGAGAAACCAGCCAGCCAGCCTCAGGAAGCCACTTGCCAGTCCTGGGGCTGGAGGGGCAGAGGGAACAGGTGGAACTCCAGGAGCTGGGACCACGGTGAGAGGGGCTCTGCCTCCCATCCTCAGCCTCTCTCCCTCTCCCAGAGCCTTGGTGGGATGTCGCTGGGAACAGAGCCTGGGGACGGAGCAGGGGCAGGATGGGGAAGGGATCTGGAAGGTGTTAGTCGCTCAGTCATGTCCTACTCTTTGTGACCCCATAGATCGTAGCCCACCAGGCTCTTCTGTCCATGGAATTCTCCAGGCAAGAATCCTGGATTGGGCTGCCATTAGGCCACAGGCAAATGACCCAAGCAGTCACGTAGCTGATAAGAACCGGAGCCGGGACGGGAGCACTCTTTGCTGTCAAAGTCCTTGGACTTCTCTCCAAACCATCTTCTTTTCAGAAATCTTAGACCAGACCTAGCGCTTTGCCTTTGGGGCCCGTGTCATACCTGCTTAGGGGCAAGTGGCATGGGCATCCCAGAGACCGCAGTGCATTTGTGCTCTGTGTTCCTTCTGGTGAGTGGAGCGCACCACTTGTGACCACAGAGTAACTCGAAAAAGTGGAATGTTAGAAACTCCTCTCAAGAGCACAGATGGAGGCTCCAGTCGGGGAGTTCCCAGACTCGATAAGCATTCCCACTATTGTGGGAATTTCTGTGCCCCTGCCCCCATGGGGTGCCTCCGGCAGGGTTGATTATATACACAAGTTTTTGGTGTTGCTGAGACTTGGGCCTCTGGGTCTTGGACTTGGGGGGAAGAGGTTCAGAAAAGAGGGAAAGTATCTCAGAAGAGCGGAGGGAACCTCGCGTCTCCTCCATAGCTCCTGATAAATGAAGCCTTTTCTCCCCAGAGGTGTGGGTGGATATGATCCCCCTTTCCTCTGCCCCGTGGGACTGGGAAGCCTGTGGCCCCGCAGGGCGCGGTGCTTGCCCTGAGCTGGGGTCTCCATTCAGGCTGCAGTGATGGTGTGGGTGCTGGCCAAGATGATAATGGAGACCGAGGAGGCAGTCTTTCAGTTCGCTTCAAGTCACAGTGCACTAGCAGCGTTGTGAAGAGAACCAGCCTTTAGATGTGTGAAGACATCGGAATACAGGCAACTGGCAATTTCAGGAGGAAGAAAAGGAGAAAAGAAAATGAACATTTACTGAGCAGCTGTTAGTACTGTACTAGGTCCTGGACACGTTCTCTCTTACTGGGTCTTGACGATAAATCTGTGTGGATGGGCTGTTAACCCCTTTTTTACAGACAAGGTTAAACCTATTCAAAGAGGTAAGGTAACTTGTCCAAGGCCATGTTACTCTTGCTGGCAGCACAGGGATTTAGAAGGTGTAATCACTGCCGTCCCTCCTTTCTTTCTTTGCTTCCCTGTCTCATGATTCTGGCTGTTTTGTTAGATGCTAAAGCATGAGGGGTTTCTCTACAAAGATTCATTAGTTTGTTCTCAGGAAACCTCAGGATATTCCTTGTTCTTTGCAGGGAGGCCCACTGCCTCCTCAGATGGCAGCCTGTTCACTCCTCCTTTTCTGAGCTGGAAGGGGTTAGTGGGAGAGAGAACGCAGAAAGTGAGGAAAGTTCTAGAAACCAGAGGGACCAAGTATATTTTATTTACTCAGTGTCTGTACCAGCTCCTTTAAAACAGAACAGTTTTATTTGAACCATTGATGGTTACCACTGATATTTACCCTTTCTCCAGCCCATGGCTGCAGGGGCTGGTCCTAAAAGATAAGCTAAACGTTTTTAAAAATTTCAAGGTGACGTTAAAAGTCATATGCCATGTCTCTCTGGGTCTTGACTGTGTTTTCTGCCCAGTACTTTTTGAAGTAGCTTGGGAAGATAGTAAGGGAAGCTATCAAACAGCTGAAGAGGTTGAGTTATTGTGGTGATAGATTGATGGTTTAGAAGCAAAGTCTAGAATAGGGAGGGAGGCAAGGTTGCCCACTTTCTTATCCTTTTCCTGACCATCAGCTTGAGGGAAAACAGCTTAGTGTCCTCTAAGAAAATACACTTAATCTGCATTTATATTGAATTGTTATGTGATCCAATTTACAAAATTCCTTAATGCATATTGGAGAATACTGTCATATCTGTTCTCTCAAACTCAGTTTTATTGTTAACTTGAAGGAGTGTGTTTTTCAGATTCTTGAGGCATAATATTTTTGTTTTTAATCAAGTACCCAAAGAATAATTTGAAGTTGATTTTTCTATGACTAGAAGCTGTGGTTATGAGTGATATTAAATATGAAACCTTATTTAATTCTTTAACCCCAGACCCCTTAGATACACAATGGAAATACTGAATTCTAAGCCTAACTCTAACTTACTCATTCCACAAATATTTATTAGGTGGCCACACACCCTAGGGAACTTTCAGGGCATGAAGTTGTTTCAATCGTCCAAGATAATGTAGCAAATATATTGTCCTCCTTGAAGGCCATTTGCTTCTCAAACTGCCTCTCCTCTTTTAATTAATCAGTCCCTTTGATCTTTGTACACCTGGATTTTAGGGCAGGGCATGTTTCAGTACTTAATGAGTATAAATTAATCTATCTCTCCTGACTAAGGTATGACCTACTGTAGGGTAGGGATTGTGTCAGAGGCATTTTCGTAACGCTGGTGGCTGGCACCATGCCCGGTGCTTATTTAATAGTAGCTGCTCACAAATGTGAGGCCGTGTCTGTTACTGCCCTCTCGGAACTCGGTATTTTTAATCTGGGGTAGATGAAAGGACAGAGGAGAAGATGTCACTTCCAACTGAGATGCTCAGAGAGGACATCCTGGAGTGGGTAGCAGTATATCTAGTTTGTTTTTCGCTTTTTTTTTTTTAAGCTGGTAAGATTTGTTTTGGTTCAAACTGCCGTTGGAAGCCGGAGGAAGCGTGAGGGCGTGAACTGGCCTGTGTCCGTGTGTTGGGTCGCTAGGGCTAAAAAGGTGAGCGTGGGGCTGGCTGCGGAGGGCCTTCGGTGCCCAAGTGTGGTGTTTCAGACTTATATGAGGCATCTGGAAATCACGGGAGGTTTTGGAAAGGGTAAGACACATGAGCTGGGTGTGGCAGGAAGTTTATTATGGCCTCTGCTTGGGCAGGTTAGGGGCAGAGAGATGCTGATGCGTTGGCATCAGCCCAGCACTGAGGATCTATAATTAATACTCCAGTTTTTGCCTCCTTTGTTAGCCTTTTAAGAAAAAAATTTTTAACCCCCTCCCCCCATTTTAAAGGAGGGAGTAGAGTTTTCTCTTTCCATTAGCTCCGTCATGAAACCATTTGTGCTCAAGTTTGCACACCCTGCTGTTCCTGGGTTTTAACAGAAACTCATCACCAACGTATCCATCACTCCGTTGATGAAAGGAGAGGAAGAAGGAGTCAGAAGTTGCCAGTTTGCCTTTAGGATGGATTGTTTTCTTCCCTGGTAACACGAGGGGGTTTCTCTCTTTTTGCCCTTTCCCACGATCCATTTGCTCTCACCATCTTCATTCAGAGGGAGGAGTGTCATCCTTGCCTTCCAGCCCCAGGGATTTGCAGTATTCACCCAAGAGTGAACACACAGACAGTATCCTGTCTTTTCTCTTCCAGGGGCTCTGTTTCTGCACGCCCTTGAGCTAAGAGAGGTGGGCATCTTGCAATGTTGGCGAAGGCAGCTGCAGTCTCTGGGGCTCTTCCCACCACCAGCCAGGTGCTGTGTGCTTTCACACACTAATTTTGTCCTGTGGATTCCTTACTCCACCCTGTGAGTTAAGGAACCTTAACCCTGATTTGTAGGGAGAGAACCAGGGTCCAGAGAGCTGGAGTGATTGTACGGGGGGATGTGCCTCAGTTTTATCGTCATTAGATGTGGCTGAACCTATGTATAGTGTAGAATTAGGTGAGAAGAGAACTGGGCATGAGGATCCGGCACACAGTATACACACGGCAGCTCTGAGATTGCTGTCATAAGTATATATCTTCATTGGGGATGTTTAAGTGTGTGGGATCTGAGATTTCCTTGGCCCACTTGAAGAAAAATCCCTCCCTGAATCCATGCCCCTTGTCATTCTTTGCTGTAAGCGTCTCATTCCCCTATGGCTTGTCCTGGCCTCACGTCAGGGCCTGATTGTTGCAGAGACGGAAGACCAGTCCATGGCAAGGCCTTCCGTGTGCCCTGGGACACAGAGGGGCCCACACTGCCCTGTCTCCTCCGTGGGGCCCTCTAGCCTGTCCACTGGATGCCCTGCTTAAGGGACTGGTAAGCCGTCTCTGTGAACTCTATCACAGACACACTCCTTCACTGGTTGCAGAATTTCTTACTCTGGGGTTCTGAGCCTAGAAATGGAGCAGTCTCCATAGGCAATTTGTAAAAACGGCAAGAGTTGGGGGGTAGGAGTGCATAAGTGGAAGGTTAAACCCAGCTGTGGGACTTCTGGTGGGTCAGTGGTAAAGAATCCCACCGCAATGCAGGAGGCTCAGGTTCGATCCCTGGATCAGGAAGATCCCCTGGAAGAGGGCGTGGCAACCCGCTCCAGTATTCTTGCCTGGAAAATCCCACCCCATGGACAGGAGCCTGGTGGGCTACAGTCTAAAGGGTCTCAGCCTGACTCGACTGAGCGACTGAGCCCCGCCCGTGTTCATCTGACCCGTGAGCAGGAGTTGAATGTATTGGTAGCGTGACTGCTTCACCCCTGCCATGTCTGTATTTTCAGGGGGCACTCACACACCTTTTCCCCACGTGGAAAACAGTTCTGTGAGGACAGGTGTTGGTCTGGGTTTTCTCTTGCAGCCAGAGCTCCCTTGTACAGTTCGCCCCGGCAGGACCGCTGTGTGCGGCCTCCTCGAAGAGGCCTTGGGTGTGAAAGGGCCTCTGTCCTGTGAGTGATCCTGAGGCACACACCGGGGGTGGATCTCCCCATGACTGGTTCTAGAGGTAGGTCTTCAGGCAGGATTACTTAACGTCTCCATGCTTCAGTTTCCTTGCCCCAAAAGGAGATGATATTAATACCACCTTCCTTGCCAATTGGTTTGAGTACAAGTGAGCTCATGGAGATGAGTGCTTGGAAAGGACTGAACACATAGAAAGCGCATGATAAATGCACTTACTGTTATTAGATTGTGTCGCACTTTCCTTTACCCAGCTTTAGAACATTGGCACTGTCATCTTTCCTTCTCACATCTTAACGTGAAGGCGCTCTAGGTAGCCGATGTCCTTATGTATTTATTTAGCAAGTTAACTGAAAAGATTGACCTTAAAGAAAGTTAAAGACTCCTGTACTGATTTTAAGAGAATGAAATGGGATATATATACTAATTATCATTTCCTTTTTAAGAGGCCCAAACTGCTGCCCGGCAGTTGACAGCAACAGTGGGTTTTGTGCATGCGCAAATGTATACATTGGAAGCAGTTGAAATGTAATTTCCAAACTCAGGACTAATTCATATCCTTGGTTGGAACAGATAGTGTTGCTGGCCAAAATCTTGGCTTGCTTTGTCCACCAAAGCCAATTAAAAAGTACAGAGACAGAATTTGGAGGAAATGGAAAGGTGGTTTTAATTCTCAGCCAGCAGAGAGGGCAACACAGTAGGCTCATGCCTCAAGAACTGTGCCTCCATGAGGAGTCTAGGGGCTTGTATAAGATGAGGCCTCGCAGTCAGGAGTAGGTGATGAGGAACAAAGGTGTTAGGACTTGTCCAAAAACAGTCATAGGCTGGCATCTGTAACCCAGTAATTGAGTCTGGCAGTTCAGTGGCTCTGCCTTCTTTCTGATATGTAACTGCTAGGGGAAGGCTGTTCTAAGGGTAAACACCAGATGCAGGATGTATTTAGCATATAGAGTCAAAGGAAAATAGGTGCGGAAGTGTAGCTCCTACAAAGTTAGGGGGAAGGAAAGCAAGCTTAGTTACAGACATGCAGAGTTAGGAACAGTTTTAAAAAAAAAAAAAGCTAGAAATGATCAGGCCTGCTCACTGTTCTCTTTATCTTCTTTGTTCTCTGGGAAAAGGAAATTAAAAAACTTTTTTTTTTTTTTCCTGTTTTTCATGGCAACAGTGGTACTTTCCTATTACCTAAACCCCTCATTTCTACCCATTCTTCTGGATGACCTTTGCAGTAGTCTGGTAATCCTGTGGCCTCTGGACCATAACAGTGATCAGTTAGTAACTCAGACTTGTACTCTCAGGTCGTTGAAGTAGCTTTTTGCAAACAATGGTGAGCAATGACCTAGTGTCCTTGGAAGGGTTACTGTTCCCATTGTATTCTCAGGAAATAATTTGCAGTACAGAGGAGTTTGGTTCATTAGAATTCCCCCGCCAAGAAATGTGGGGGGGCCCACCCTGTAGGTGCCCAGAGCTGCCCTGTCACTTGCCACTGGTCACTTTTGAGCACTTGAAATGGGACAGGTGTGACTGAGGGTGTGCATTTTTAAATTTTAATGAATTATGAATTAAAATTATGAATTAAAATTTTAAACAGAAGTAGGATAAGATATTTTTCTGTTGAATATAGCTATTTTGGTGGGACCACATTTTATATGATCATGTCAGTTGATCTTTGTTACATTCATTGAGTGTTTTGTCACTTGTAATAGCGCATTAAAAATTTAAAATTTTTGGTGACAAAGTAAAATGATGTTTTGATATATTGGGTGAAATAAATAATACTGATTAAATCAAATTAACTTTTCTTTTTTTGTAAGGCTGCTAAAATCATTTTGGGCTTCCCTAACTCAGACAGTGAAGAACCCTCCTGCAGTTTAGCAAACCTGGGTTTGATCCCTGGGTTGGGAAGATTCCCTGGAGAAGGGAATGGTAACCCACTCCAGTATTCTTGCGTGGAGAATTTTGTGGACAGAGCAGCCTCGTGGGCTCTAGGCCATGGGGTCTCAGACTCGGATATGACTAACACTTTAATGTAGTGTTAAACTACATTTGTCGGAGTGACTAACACTTTCCCTTATCTCTAAAGTTGTTTAAATCACACGTATGGCTTGCATTAAATTTATACTGGAAAGTACTGCCTTAGAGCCTCTATTACAGGTTGCTGAAATTAGCTTGTTCTAAAGTTCAAAATTAGGTTCCGGGCTTACATTTTGACTTTATGGAATCAGAGTTGTTTAGATGAAGGGATATTTGGACTCACCCAATCCAACCCTGTCCTTCTGCAGATGGAGACTGAGGTTCAAAGTTGCTGTAGCATGTTACTGTAACATGACCGTGGATGGGTGTGGAACTTAATGTGCTTTAGAGCCTATTGCTTTCCGTCCTGGGCTTCCTTGGCATTGGAAACATGGTGGGCGTCAGGGCTGCAAAGAACTTCCACCAGTTCCCGATAGAAGGATTTAAAAAGCAACTATTTTAGGCAATGAGAGAAAGAATTTTTGTACTGTGTCTCCCGTGGACAGGATGATCGATTCCATGTTTGACGTGTAAATTTTTGTTGGGCAGTATAATGATATATCCATGGGGAATAGTAGTAATAAGGTACAAATAATTCCCACACTTTGTGCGAGCACTTACTTTGGAAAACTCTACATCTGGCTTTCATAATTTTCATTTAAGGAGTTCTTTTCCCAAAACCAGAGATTTTAAACCAGACCCACAGCTTTTGTCCTTGAGAAAAAGACTGAGAGCTTGACTTCAGGTGTTTGTTATTTAGGTAGGTAGCCTGAGATCTTTGGTAAAAGTTTAGGCTTGTTTTATGGTATTGTTTTCTTATTGGCAAAACTGACTTCAGGAAGAAGCCACCAACAACTAAAATGAACACCCTTAGAGCAAACCAGAATTTTTTGTCTATTTTGAGGAATCGAGGAGGAAAGGGAGCCGTGATAAGTCACTAAATGGTGATTTGATTTATGGGTCTGTCCATCAGGTTTAGCGAGGGCTGCTTCCTCTACAGACGCAGTTGACAAGTCAGACAACCTTTGATATTTAACCTTTCTGAACCTATTTCTTCATCTTGCTAATCTTCACACACAGTAGTGTGGGGATTAATTGACACAGTCATGCAAGTGAAAGTGGTTTGTGCTCTGAAAGCATTACAAATGGAAGGGCTGATGTCTCGAAGGGCTGCTGTCTCGAAGGGCTTCCTTTCTCCAAGAAGATGTAGAACTATTTCTGGGGTCACCCTTGGTCTTGATGAGCCCGTGGATGAGTCAGTCAAGTTTGGAATGTGCATTTGGTGGGCCCATGGCCTTGACCCCATGATTTGGGACTTCTCAGGCTTCCACGTTAATTTAAAGCACTTCTTGCTCTTGGTAGCAGAGATGGTCTACCTGATGTCAGGGTTAGAACTGGAAGCCCTTTAGTCCTATTGTGTTGAATATGGACATAATCTTTAGATACCACTGAGGATTTAGAGATTAGGAGTAGGGAAAGGAAACTTCTCTGCAGAAAAGTGCAGGTCAAACTTTGGTCAGATAACATGGTTCTATAGGCCAGGGTTCTATTTGGTTCCAGGGTCAAATGCCACGTGACAGTTTTGTATACTTCTGTTTTCAAAGTAATTCCTAGCATTTCAGAAATTTAAGAACTAGAAATTGCAATAGGAAAGTCTCGTTTGAAATCTAATTTCTGTGAGTTGACCAGATGACCCTTCCTGGGTTCAGCTCAGTCAGATGAGACCTAGTGTCAGTTACCCATTTAGTATCTCTGGGCTTTGGGATACTTATTTATAAGTTTGGTGTTTGGTCTGTGTTCTGCAAGATCACCATTGGCTCTTCTTAATTACTTGTGTGTTCAGTGTAATTTAATAGCCAACTTACATGTTTTTGAGAGACACATCCCTAGACAGAATACCTTTTCCTGGGCTTCAAAGAGCTAGTACATATAGTCAGCCTGGTTGGACTTGCTTTCTCTTTTATAGATTATACTCCATTTAAAGTTATTATAAAATATTGATGATGTTGCTTGTGCTGTACACTGCATCTTGGTATCTTATTTATTTTATACCACTAGTAGTTTGTACTTCTTTTTTGTTTTGTTTTAATATTGTTTATTAGCACAGGAACAAATGCAGACTTAAGTAGTCCACAACATAGAACCAATCCACTGAGCAACTCCCACTCCACGCCTGACAGTTAACATAAGGTATTTTACTACAGGTTTTCAAAAGTCCTGATTCAAACCTCTGTCTCTTCACAATAAAGTAGATTGGCATTTAAAATAAAATACATAACTACTCATTTTCTATATTGGTGTCTTACAGCCACGTGTCCATTTTATATATGAGATAACAGTCTCTAAAAGCTGTTAAATATCTTGTACCTCTTAATCCTCTTCCCTTATCTTGCCCCTCTCTTCCAACCCTCTTTCACTGGAAACCACTCGTTTGTTCTCTGTATCTGTGTTTTGTTATGTTCAGTTGTATATTTTATTTTTTAGAGTCTGTATAGAGGTGAAAACAGAATTTGTCTTCCTCTACTTGACTTATTTCACCAAGCATAATACCTTCCAGGTCCATCCATGTTGTTGCAAATGGCAGGATTTTCTCCTTTTTTGGCTGAGTGGTATTCCACTGTGTATATTTACAGCATATCTTCTATATCCCTTCATCTCTTCATGGACATTTCAGTTGTTTCCATATCTCAGCTATTGTAAACAATGCTATGGTGACCATTGGGGTGCATATCTTTCTTTTCAAATTATTTCAAATGGTTTTTGTTTTCTTCAGATGTATACTCAGCTATGGAATTGCTGGAGCATATGGTAGTTCCATTTTTATTTGACTTGGTTTTTTCTTGGGAATTCACCTTGTCTGTAGAAGGACTGAGGTTGCCAACTGTGCTCATTTCACCTGTTGAGACCACCTGACCTCTACCTGTGTGTACCGTGGCTTTATGTTTCTTGCCCCTGCAGATTGTTTTACCAGCTCCAAAGGCACCAGCCAAGATTACCTTGGCTGGACATAGACTGGTGATTAAAGAAATGTTGGCT